CAGCAAAGCTCTCATTTAGAATGGAAGGGCAGATCAAGTGCTTCTCAGAAGCACTTGAGGTCAAGTTAAAGGAGTTCATCATCACCAAGCCCTTATTTTATGAAATGCTAAAGGGACTTATCTAAGAAAAATAAGATAAAGAAAAAACATGTATAGTAAAAGGACAGCAAACTCACAATTATTAACAACCACACCTAAAACAAAACCAAAAGAAACTAAGCAAACAACTAGAACGGAAACAGAACCACAGAAATGGAGGTCACATGGAGGGTTAGCAACAGGGGAGTGGGAGGAGGAGAGAGGGGGAAAAGGTACAGAGAATAAGTAGCATAGAATGTAGGTTGAAAATAGATAGGGGAGGGTAAGAATAGTATAGGAAATGTAGAAGCTAAAGAAATTATAAGTATGACACATGGACATGACTAAAGGGGAGGATATGGGTGGGAGAGAGTGTACAGGGTGGAGGGGAGTGAAGGGGAGAAAAATGGGACAACTGTAATAGCATAATCAATAAAATATATTTTTAAAAAGTTTAAAAAGAATGCTATTTACAGTAATGTAAAAAGTTTTAAGTATATAATATAATGAAGGTAAACATTAAAAATCACATAACGCTGCTGAAAGAAATTAAAGAAATATTAAATTTGCGATATTCATAGAGTGGGGAATTGAATCAGGATTTTAAAGATGACATTTTTCCTCCAAATTGATCAGTAGAAACATTGCAATCACAATCAAAATCACAGCAGGCTTTCCTAAAGAAATCGATGAGATGATTCTGAAGTTGTTGTGGAATCTCAAATGAAATAGAACAGCCAGTCCTGAAAAGTGACAGTGTTGTAGGATGCAGGCGACCTGATTTCAAGACTCACTGTGAAGCTTCAGTAATCAAGACAATGTGATGTTGACATGAAGAGAGACCAAAAGAGAAAAACAAAATAAAAAAGTAAAAACTGAAAAAAGAGAATCCAGAAATATATCCACCATGGTGCCAAGTCCATTTTATAGAAAAAGAAAAGATTTTTGATAAAGAGTTTTAGAACAACTGAAGAAATGAAATTAAGTCATTTCAATTCCATCCTCATAAAACACACAATATTTAATTCTGGATGAATGATAGACCTAAATGGCTATAATAAAACTTCTAGAGTAAAACTCTCAAAAGAGCTATTAAAGAGCATCTTCATGACTTTGAAATATACAAAGATTTCTTAGGTCCCCAAAAGCACTAACTATAAACCAAAAACATGATAAACTGGTCTTCATCAAAGTCAAAATTAATTTTAATCACTGTATTTAAAAAGATTAATAGGAACATCATGGACCAGAGAAATATATTTGTAATATACTTGACAAAGGATGTCTATCCAGAATATATTTAAAACTATAAATCAACAACAAAAAGAAAAATTTTTAGAAAATGGACAAAAGACTTGAATGGACACTTAACAAAATAATTCCAATGACCAAAAAGTATATGATATGGTGCTCAACATCATCATTCATCAGGAAAATGCCAATTAAAATTATGTGGTATGCTTGCTTTAGTACACATATTAAAGTTAGAACATTCCGAGAAAATTAGCATGGCCTCTACACAAGAAACTTTCTGACGTGTTCCCCGTTTTTGAAATTCCTCAAGGCTCTCTCTCCCTTTGCTCCAAGGAAATAGTGAGTCAAGATGCTGCATGTGATACCTAGTATTGAAACTGATTTTCACAACAATAACAACAACAAATCACATGGTGATTTCATTTCTCATCTTCTAGAGTAACTAAAATCAAAGGGCTGACAATACTAAATGAGGGTATGGACCAACTAGAACCCTTATTCATTGCTGACTTGGGGAGCGGTGTAAATTTTTTATAAAATTAAATGCATTTTAGCCCATGAACAGCATGTCTGTATATGCTCAGGAATTAACATGTCTCCAAACATTTGTGTAAGAAGGTCTATTACATCTTTCCATGATAGCCACAGACTATAAGTAACCCAAATGTTCAACAACCATGGGATAAATAGGTTACGATACACAGGTTCAACAGAACACTTTTTAGAACTTAAAGAAAAAAACAACAATGTGGGTAGATTCCAAAATTAGTATGTTCTGTGAAAGAAGCAGTCACAAAATAACAACTGTGTTGCTCCGTGTATGTGAAGCCCAGGAACAGGTAAAACTACTCTATGGTGTTAGCAGTCAGAAAGTTGTAACTTTGTCCCCAGGGTATGGAGATTGGTTGACTCCATATATACCTAGGATGAAGGAATTTTTATATGTTGTTTGGGGTGAGAGTTACATGGGTATATACAATTATCAAAATTATCTAACTGAACACTTAAAATGTGTGCATTTCCCAGTATGCAAATTAGACCACAATTAAAACATTAAAAAAGATTGTTGTTAATACACACATCTACCAGGAGGACCAAAGAACATGGCTTGGGGTCATACAGGTGGAAAACACTTCCTAAGTTCAGCTGCTGATGTGGCCCAGTGGCGAACCCAGTGCTGTGCCCAAGCACTGCAGGTGTAGACCCCCAGAACCTGCGCCTGCAGAAACTGCCCCTGTGACCTCCCTTGACTCCTGAAACACCCAGTCTAGCTGATACACCTCCATCAGTAAATTGTGTCTTTACTTCACATATTTCTATTCAGAACTTTTACATAACTTAAGTACCAGTGCACTGATACTGGATCGTACCAATAGTACAGCATGTGACTCACTGAAGAGCCACAGCACCACTGGGTAGAACAAGTACAGGCTGGGTTTTTTGTGCTTTTTGAGATGTGAGTTTGCACGTCTATAGGTGAGATTTTAATGTAATTCGCTCGTTCAATGAGTATTTAATACCTCGCTGGTGTGATATGCTTATACCAATAAGAAAAAATAATGTTAGTATAATTTATATAAATATTATGTGAATCATTTAATTTAGTAATTCCATGAGTAACTTTTTTATTATACAACTCAATTTTAAAATTGACACTTTTCTGATTAATATAATATGCAATTTAAAAAGTTTTTTTTTCATTTCTGATAAGCTTTAGTTGGAATGAATAACTTTGCTTTCCTGCTGGTCCAAGTACGTGGATGATTTTTAAATATTTGGAAATAGCTCTGTACATTAGAGACCCCTTTACTTAAAGAAAATCCCGCTTGCATTCTTTGGCAAAGTGAAGGTTTTGTTAAATAAGCACTGCTAACATGTGTCTTGTGATCTCAGATTCTGGTCCTTTAATGTTTTTGAAACGTGGAAACACCCTACACATTAACTCCCTGTCTTTGTCTTCATGTATCCTTAATAATATAGGAGACATGAAAAAATAATATAATTTTGCTCCAGAGGCTATGTCATGTCCGCACATCTACAAGTTAGAAAATTAGTTCCTAATCATATGTATTCTTTCAAAATACAAATTTGATCCATTATAAGAAAATTTATGAATTAGAATAATCACAAAGGACATTATTTAAACCGCTGTTTAAATGTCTCACGTGCCTTCCAAGTGCACACACCGTCACTGACCCCGCCCTCTCTCTGAGTCCTGCCTCAGTTCCTGAAGGTAGAGGTGTGGAGAAAAGGCAGTGACCACAGTTACCATCATAAAGGGAGGGACAGAGGAGCGTGGTGGGATCATTTGCATCGGGAACCATTGATTTTTTAAGACTCACCTCCAAGTTGAGTGTTGGTCATTCTTCAGTCTGGCTTTGGTTATCACCGAGTTAAGGCTGCTGTTTTATTGCTGCTGTTGTCACCTCTGGAGCCACTAGGAATGTGATTGTAGGGAGAGGGCTGGGTGAGGCCATACAGACACAGCAGCTGGGAACCAACCCAGGTGCCCATGGGGTAACTTCTGCTTCTGGGGATATTTGGAAAACATACCTAAGTCACCTACAGAAAAACAGATGGTATCAAAGGGGTTTGCCTGAGTTGTTGCTTTCTGGAGTTTTCCCACCATGCTGATGCGGATAATTTTTTTAAATATTTTATTTATTTATTTTTAGAGAGAAGGGGAAGGAGGGAGGGGGAGACAGACAGACAGACAGACAGAAACAGAGAGAGAGAGAGAGAAACAAAGAGAGAGAGAAACATAAATGTGTGGTTGCCTCTTACATGCCTCCTACTGGGGACCTGGCCCACAACCCAGGCATGTGCTCTGACCAGGAATTGAATCGGCAACCCTTTGGTTGACAGGTCGGCATTCAGTCCACTGAGCCACACTAGCCAGGGCCAATGTGGATAATTTCATAGGGGTCGAGGTGGGTACCAAAACCATAGAAGGTGAAAAGAAAATGGAAGGAGATGTCCTCAGGGATGGCAGCCAGGAGGGATGGCAGCCAGGAGGGCTGGCAGCCAGGAGGGCTGGCACGGAATGCTGAGCTGGACCACATGGCAGTCTGGTGTCCTGGTGTTTGGTCCCTTCATGCTGCAGACGTCCTTTGGCCTCTTTCTTGTGCCTGATGAGGAGGCCTGGACGCCCTGAGTTTAGATGAAAAGCCTCCAGGTTCCCTTCAGTACTGTAACAGGAAACTTGGAACTATGTCCACGAGGGACACTCAGATTCACAATTGGTACTCTCTACTTCTTTCAGAAAAGAAACTTTAAAAAAGTACCATAAAATTAAACTTGCCAGTAATACTATTGAACCTTATGTGTTTAAAAAAAAAAGTACTAGGGTCTGTGTGTCCATGGCCAGTCATCTATTACTTACTCTCTTCTGTTGCTTTGTGCATATGTTGACATTTTTAAAGGATTTTTTTTAGCCTTTAATGTACAGTGATTGATTTTTAACAATTCCATATTTGACATTGTTTTTGATCTTCTTTTTACTTTGTTCCCTGCTTTTTGCATTCTCCTCCCTACCCCTTCCTCTTCTTCATCCCATTTTTGACTGTTGGGTTGTTTTGTTTCTGTGTCTGTTGTGTGTTGTTTGTTTTTGGTTTTTGTTGGTCTGGTGTTCTCTCCTTTCTGTTGTTCCCCACCTCCTGCTGCTATAGCCCCACAGACTGTGGAAGCTGGCCGAGCAGGTAGGGATTTCCTCCTTATCCACACCAGTGCCCACCCACCCACCCACCCCCGACCTGTCCGCTCCCCACAGTGGGACAGACTAGGAGTTGAGTGCACAGGCTGACTGGGGTTTACAGACCACATGGTCAAGAGGACTGATGCCAACGTGACGTCATTCCTCCGATCTGTCCAAATGCTTCACACTTGTGACGAATGCTGTACTTTCATTCTTTGTACAGGATCAGTGATTTCTTTGCCACTTTGGGGCCATCTCCGTATTACTTCATTTTCCTCTTTTAATGATCTGTTTTCTCCTTTGTTTACTTATTAATTGGCCCTTGGTGGTTATGTGTTTTGCATTTCTCGGAACATCAAACCACTTCCCAGTCAGCACTAGTCTGTGACACAGCTCCACTGAATAGTCACAGGTTGGAAAGAACGCTCTTTGCCTTGTGCTGTAGAGTGAGCTCCCAGCTGGAGGCCGGCTGCATGTGCTCTCTGCCTCGGTGCTGAGATCCCAGTGACCGGGGTTCTTTAGTAGGATAGTGTGTCTTAAAGAAAGTATCTTTATTTTTATCTCTTTTTTATGTATATAAACATGCCTTTGGTACAAAATTAAAACTTTCTCCTGAAGAATTTTAGTTCTTCAAATAAATTCTGAGAGGGTCCCTTATTTTTGGCAAGTTTGTTTTTGGTTCCATCTTTTCCTACCCAAGGTATTGTATTGCCTTCCCAAGAAATGTACGTAGAATTTTGGCTTATAATGCAGCTTTCATGGCATTGCTATTACCTGGACAGAGCTTGGTGGTCAGAAGTCAACTCAGCATGTAATATAAAGGGATTTACAGTGCAAGATAAGATTTCTGGACCCCGGGTTAAATAAGCAGTCAGAGAGCTCAGACCACCGAGTGCTGCCCTGCTGCCTAGTGGTAAATTCACAACCCCCCCCCCCCCCGCAACCTACATCACAGACAAAAATATCCCCCCACAGCTAGAGGAAGACCAAGACAAAAGTAGAACTAAAAGGAACAAGATAATTATCTCTTATCACTTTTTCCTTAATCTGTCCATTCACGTCCCATGTTCTCCTTCAGTTTTGTGAGCTCTAGATATTTTTGGATGCACACAGTCAAATTTCTCAGCAAATGAAGCTTATATCATTGACAGGCTGCTTTCGCCAAGCCAGCGTTGTCTCAGCGCTGTCAGCCTTTTTTTTTTTTTTTAAGACATGTGGCATGCCTCTTTTCTTACTTTCTAAATGTGATTGATAGTCAAGCTGTGTGAAAGTCCAGTATTATTCTAATAAGTTCCTTTGAGAATTGAGATTATAAAACTGAAAGCTAACAGGTATCATGGAAAGGTGTGGTTTCCGTGCTTTTAATTTTTGTTCAGTTTCAAATTTCACCTAAAATATGCTTATTAGCTTGTAGGAAACAGACCCAGATTCCCCCCACACATACATGAGTTAACCACACTGTGTCCTTGCTTGCAGGGGACCTCAGGACCTGATCCCACCACCGTCTATGTTGACATGAGAGCTCTGAGGCATGACAGGTATGATGCACTTGTGATGTGTTCTCGGTTGCCAGGCATGCAGGTCCCCCTGGAAAAGGAGGGGCAGCAACATTTTTCTCCTCCAACTACAGTCAGTCATCTTATGAATAAAGCAGTAGAGGTGGGCAAGTTGGCTTGAATTTAAACTCTCTCCACATTCTGTTTGGTTAACATACCCAATAGGCCAACTGACTTTTTATCATAAAATACAAATGGAAATTGTTGCACCATAGTCAGGTGCGAGCAATCAGAGTTGCTTTTTCTAAGTTTAACCAGAGCACTTGATTCTGTTCCTCTGTGGGCATAATTTTGCATTTCATAAAATATCAACACATTTCTTTACATGAATTAAAATTTTTTGTCAAGGAGATTCCATGAAAAACAAAAATGCAAGTCAAGCTACCTTTCTGTGCAGCTTCCTAAGCAGCCTTGAGCAAGAGTAAAGGGTTGTGTTACTGGTGGATGCTTATAAGCTCCCCTCAAGGAATTTAGTAGTGCCCAGGGAGATACCGGTTGCCTGCCTGGCCCCAGTAGCCCTTGCTTTAGGCCCTGCTCTTTGAAGGGACCACAGAGATGAGAGCCTGTCTTGTGGGAGCCTCCCTGGGAGGCTGAGCACTGTAGCAAAATCCCATCTGGATCATTTTCAAAACTCAGAAACTTAGCTTGAAGAGATCAAGTAACTGATTCATGCACATTTCCAAATGGAACATGTAGGCTTTAAAACAAACCTACTTTACTTCATATAAAAATTATTTGAAAAAAACTTTATAGCTTCAAAAGGTGAACAATAGCTTATCAAAGACCCTCTGTAAGTAACATTTAGGCAGTTCTCTCTGTGGGCTGGCCCTCAGAGCACATGAGAAACACACAGTAAGACCATGTGCATGAAAACGGCTGACCTTTGGGTCTTGAGAGAACAGCCTGCAGTGTCCAACCTGTTTATGTACAAGAACGGTGATCGTTAAAGGGCAGCTACCTCATTCTGTGTGTGAGTGTCCTGGAATGTCAGGGGAGTTGAGAGGAGGGGCTTAGGGAATTTTTCTCTCCTGGAAAAGGACAGAAGCATAAAGGACTCCTTTCTAACAATTTTTGGACCTGCCCTTTTGGCTCTCTTCAATGTGGCAAGTCTTCTTATTGAGAAAAAGTACAATTTGGGGAAGGTAAAATAAAATTAGAGCCAATACAGCGTATGGCAGTAAGGTAATACAATTTCAATATCAGACCAATATGTTCTCTAGAAAGAGCCAAGAGACATGTCCTAGGAAAAGCTTCTTGGTGATTTACTAATTCTTTGAGCTTGGCAAGTCCATAATCCTTTTACATGATAGTTTTTTTTCTAATCTATAAAATAATCTCTAACTCATCTCCCTCATAAGGTCACCCAAAATAGAAATGACAGTACTTTATGAACCGGGAGTTGGCTGTGCAGTTATGTGTTACTAAAGACGACCTTCGGCAATATCAGCGACCATTACAATTAAGAGTGATGCTGATTAGCATCAGAGTGATCCCAACAAGCGTCCCCAGTTGCAGACATGCCAACCATCCGCGCCACCCCACCCACGCCACTCTTGAGAAAGCCTTTGGAACTGTGCCTGCACCTTGTGTTTTTGCTGGCCTGGCCGCGCCTCCCTCTGGTGCCACCCTCCCAGCCTTGTGTCTCATATTCTCAGTTCTCTCCTGGGCGAGGACGTGTGGCTGGGAGCTGAGGGGCACTCATCAGACACCAAATATGTTTGCACTGGACTTGTCTCTTCACCTTCTTCAGTGTTTGACTTAGAGATACCAAAGCAAAACCATGCCCTGGAGCAATATGAAACAGCTCCTTCTTCCTGCTTTCCGAGCTTTCTGCTCCAGGAGCTGCTGCCCCAGGCGCTCGCAGAGTCACAGCTCCCTTCACTGTCTTCTCCGGCCTCTGGGTGCCGCTGTGGGGCCCAGCTGCTCCCTCTGGCTCCTGGCTATCGCCCTTGCCCTCTTCCTTTCACTTTTTTTTATCAACACCTGCTGATTGAAGGTTCGGACCTGGACCTTTCTGACCATGTCTCTCTGTCTCAGTTGCTGGCCATGGTCCTGCCCCGTCCTGCTGGGCTCCTTCTTCTGAAGGCAGCAGAAAATCTCAGAAGTACCTCCCCTTTCCTTCACCTGTTAGAGACCACAGCCCAGGGCCCTTCTGTGTCGTGAGCCTTGCCCCATGCCTCTCTTGTTTCTTCACCTCCCTCCATGCTGTTGAAGTTCTTCTCATTCTTTCAAACACAGCTCAAATACTATCTCTGAATATTCCCCAGTGAAAATATTATCTAGCTTGAAATCTCAGCATCACTTCTAACCTTATCATCATGCATCACATGTACCTTAGGCTGTAGTTTATGTGACATAAGGCTCTGGTGCCTGACCAATAAGAGTTCAATTCAATTCTCTTCTCCAGTCCTTGGACAAGCTCTGTAACCTCAGTGTCCCTGTGCTCAGAATGGATATACTAAAACCAACCTTCAGGGGACCCATGACGTGCCAGCAGGCATGGAAGCTGCCCCTGGGAGTGGGGTAGGCATGAGGATTGTGCTCCCCATGGTGAGGTGGTGTCTTCCCCTTGGAGACCTTGCCTTTCCATCCCCCACCACTCAGAAGGGTGGAAGGGAGCTCATCTGCTCCAAGGCCTCAGTGAGGGAGGAGGTGAGACAGGAGAGCCTGTCTCTTGTCACTATTCTCATTTTTTTAAAAAAACTGGGACTTTTGTCTTCTTAACTTAAACTGTATAGGCAAACCTTGTTTCACTGCACCTCACAGATGGTGCATATTTTACACATTGAAGGCAAGGCCCTCCACCAGCAAAAAGACTATGATTCTCTTTATTGTGGTGATCTGGAACTGGACCCCCAACTTCTCTGTGGTCTGCCTGTATATTCAGTCACAGGATTAATTACCTCTCCTGTTCCTTTAGTGCGTTCACTTGGGAGCCTCGGGGTATCTGCCCAATCACCACTTAATTAACGTGGAGAAGGTTGAATTATCAGTACATGTGTGCAGTCTCTCTGAGAGAAGATGATTGTGTGCGTGCATGTGTGAGAGACAGGTAGGGTAGGGACAGAAGAGCCACTGTTGTCAACCTCTATGTCAAGTAGTTTTCCCAAATTGATTCAATTTCCACCTGGTTTTCTGCCTTTGTTCTTACTACCCATTTTTCCCCTTGGAATTAGTATTGTTGTTGTTTGTTTATTTTTCAGTCACCTGCAGGTTGCCACGGAGAGCCTTTCTGCCTCACATAATGAGGACCCTTGTTCTCCTCCTTCTTGAATGAATTTAGTTCCAGTGTGCACCAGGGGAAATGATGAAATTGTTTTGAGACTATTTGAAAGTGACTGTAAGCTTTCCAAGTATTCTTTATAATGAATTCATTTAAGGCCAATTTGCAGTCTCACTTTCAATTTGATCTTTCCTTAAGCACTTGAATTTTGAAGACTTGAAATAAAATTTTTTATTATTTAAAGAAATAGTTTTACAAGTTAAATGTTATGAACACAGTGTTTGCATAAAGACCTTAAATTAAAGCTTTCATAGCTTCTTTATTCCTCTTAACCTGAACTCGTAATTGAAGCCTCAGCAGAGAAAGGGTGGTGAATTATTCCTGGTCAATGTCTGGCCCAGGATCATAGTACAAAAGTGCCTCCCAGACTGTGATTAGTCAGCAGTGGGTGGGGAGGGGGGCAGAATGAAGACAAAAACAGCTAAAATGGGCTCCACTCCTGGTCAGTTCTATGTGTATGAGTGTGACTGTTGCCCGTGTGTGTGTGTGAGAGAGAGAGAAAAGGATTTTCTGGTGAGAGTGTTGAGTCTCCACCTCATCTTCTGTTGGCTCATCATAGCCATTGTCTAGCAGACCTGGGGCTGGACCTTCCATAGAATTTGCGCTCCTTATTCTTATTACTGAATCTTTCATTTCTGTCATGGTCTAATTCCCTGTCACATGGTACCTGAATGACTGTCCAACATGTGCACCTGCCTCACCAGTGCAGATCACTCCCTAACTTTCCCAGTCCTTCTAGGGACCTAGCTTATCCCCAGAAGACATGTCTTGGCAGTGGTGAACATAGTCCGTGTCATAATGGTCACGCAGGCCGAGGACCCACCGTCTAGCTGTATGAGCCTGAGCACATTGGCCTCTTTGTTTCACTAATGCCTGTGACATGGTAATAACAGTACCTACCTTGGAAGGACTGTTACAACAATGACATAATTTAATACATCTCAGCAGTGCATGAAGGAACTTCCAGCCAAGATGGAGATTTAGGTAGATATACTTTGCATCCTCACACAACTAAAAGAAGGACAACAACAAATTAAAAAAAAAAAAAACAGAACTGCCATAAAATCAAACTGTGTGGAAGTCCAACAACCAAGGAGTTAAAGAAGAAAGATTCAACCAAACTGGTAGAAGGGGCAGAGAGGGGCAGCTGGGGTGAAGAAGACATACAGCAGGGTGGCAACTGAAGGACCCAGTTGGTGAGGCAGTGGCTGATGGACCAGGTGGTCCCACATTTGCATGCAAATAAACTAAGAGGAACAACTGGGGAGCAAGACAGACTGTGCAACTCAGGGTTTCAGTGGGAAAAGAAAGCCTCAAAACCTCTGGCTATAAAAATCCGTAGGGGTTACAGTGGCAGGAGAAACTCCTAGCCTCACAGGAAAGTTCACTGGAGGGACACTCAGGGTCCTAACACATACACAAACCCACCCACCTGGGAATCAGCACCAGAGGGGCTCAATTTGCTTGTGGGTAGCAGGGGAAGTGACTGAAAGCCAACAAGAGCTGAGCAAGTAGCACTTTTCCCCCTCTGACCCCTCCCTCACATATAGCACCACAATTCAGGGAAGTGGGTTGCTCTGCCCTGGTGAATACCTAAAGCTCTTCTTCTTACAATGTAACACGTGGGCCAAGACTAAGAAATATGGCCCAAATGAAAGAACAGATCAAAATTACAGAAAAACAACTAAGCAACAAAAAA